TAGGTCTGTGAAATATGCTGTTGGTATTTTAATGGGAAGTGCGTTGAATTTATAGATTGCTTTGGGTAGTATGAACATTTTAATGATGTTGATTCTACCAATCCAAGAACATGGTATGTTCTTCCATCTGTTTATGTCTTCCTCTATCTCTTTTTTCAACGTCCTGTAGTTTTCTGAGTAGAGGTCTTTTACCTAACTAGAATATTCTTACTCTTAGTATAATCTTATTTCTAAATCTTTTGTACAAAATGCTAAGGTTTTCAGTAGAAAAAAATTTTGTTTAACTTTTCTTTTTGAGAATATATTAATCCGTTGTATTTTTATGAGTACCTGTCCTTTGCTTAATTATTTAATAAATGACATGTAAACTGTGGAAGAAAAATATGGTTTGCCTGTTTTCATAGGCAAAGGAAATTAGGAGTTTGGCTTTGTGTGGTAGGTAATAGGAAGCCATAGTCAAGAAGTTACTTGATAGACTAGATTAGAATCACATTGTGTATCTTGGAGTAGGAACTGTTGGAAATAAGGCAAGCCCCCAAAACCAGGGGTCCTGGTAGAACACGAAGCACCCTCGGGAGCCAGCAGCAAGGCACATGTCTTTACTTCTGTAGAAGGGTGCGTACCAACAGAGCCTGACCACATGTACACTGAGCAGTGGTCACTCAGTTTTTATTTCTGATGCAGGTAATCTGTCCCTCACTCTTGATTGGAGGAGCTTAGGCTCACAGTCTTGCACAATTGGCTAGAGGGGAAGGGGAGAGGTTGACCTTTGCTGTTTCAAAATGGCAGCCCCTATGGGAGCTGCAAGTCACGGGCCAAAATGTCAGCTGCCTGAACTCCCTTCTTTGACTGAAAAGATTACTTGTTTTTTCTCACAGAACAAGTAAGATCAAATTGGTAGATTAAGGGCAAATCATGTAGGAAATTGAAAATCAAAATGGGAAGTTGGAACTAGATACAAGAGGGATTAGGAAGGTTTTAACCAATTTCACATGTTCTGGGTTCTTAGCATGATGAAATTAGGTGGTTTATTTATTTGTGTGTTTTTTTTGTTGTTTTTTTAGGATATTTGCTACAGGTACCATCAGAACTATTTGTGTAATAGAGAAAGTTGAAATAGGGAGAAAATAATGGGAAGCCAAAAGAAATGAGGGTTGTCTATTGAACTGATATTGATAATATTTTGAAAGAAAACATGTTGGTGACAAATTGAGTTCATTCACATCCTCATGACTGAGTAATTGCCATACACTGTGTGCTAAGCATTGAGGAATCAGTGATGTGTAAAGATACAGTGTGGACCTCAAGAAACTTTGATTTTGTTAGAGTGAAGACAAGGCATGAATCAAAGATTTGCACCAGGATTTCCAACTTGGACAATTAGAAGAATATAGGGTACAAATTTGATAGGTAGATAGAGTTCATAGGTAAGGAGAGAAGCAGATGTAGGGGACAGGGCAAGATAATACAATGTTTGGGTCGGTAGATATAGCTCTACTAAGTAGATCTTAATAGATGGAAATACAAGTTTATGTATATAAAAATAAAAAATAGAGTTTCATCCTCACTGTTTACAATGCTGCAGATTATAAGAGCACATGTTTAACCTGTGTTTAGTCTTTGAGTCAGTATTTAGTTTGTCTTTTTTGATCACATAAAAATACATGACTTTTTCCCCTGTAAATTTTCTCTAGAGTCTAGGGTTATGTGAGTTTTGATGAGCATTTAACTACCTCTTTTTTATGTTTTTGATGAGTTTTTCCATCACACTAGTTACATAGATATATGATACTATGTTTGGGGGAATAGAGATTCTGATTTGTCTCAGTTAACTAGTTGGGAGAGGAATATTGATGGAGAAATTGATAGTGATATATTTAGGTTCTGAGTTTGGTACGTAGGTCCTCAGATTCTTAAAAGATATCTGCTATAAGAGTCAATTCTTAATATTCTATCATTCTAGGACAACTTGTAATTTACTATTCCAAGCCTTTATTTTCATTCTCATGACAGCCTTTATGTAATCTTAAGATGACATTGATTACATGTATTAATTATGTACAACATAAATAGTCAAATGTCACTAGTTCTTAACTCAGGCCTCCTTTTCTCCCCCCTTCTCTAAGGAACGACTACCAAAATCACTACAATCCCAATGACTTCCAAGCCCAATGTGATTGTTGTGCAAAAGACTACAGGAAAAGGAACGACCATTCAAGGCCTCCCGGGCAAAAATGTTGTCACAACATTGCTAAATGCTGGAGTAAGTAAGAGCTTGAACTGCAGACTCAGCAATACATTGAGGACTTGAAAGACCAGCTATATAAATATTTGCTTAAGAACTTCAGAACCTCACAATGACCAGAATGGCTTGATTTACCACCACTGTGATGTAATAACTGTTAAAACACCATCTACTGATGCCATTTTTCATAGTAATTTCTAAAACATGTTGCTTATAGTCTGGTTGCTTATGACCATAGTTTAGATACTTAGCTTGGTCCTGACAGAGGATTCCGCTGACTTAACTCCTGGGGGACATCTGTTAGAGGATATGTTGTTCCTGCATGTGGCCAATAGAGAGCGACCCAGTATTAGGCTGGGAAAAGAGAAATATTTGGGATTAAGACTAAATTAATTGACAGGGATTTGTTACTTTCATTTTTACCTTGGAGCTAGTAAAAAAATTTAAATAACATATTCAGTTATAGTTTTGTTTATTTATATAGGCAGTGGTTAAGAGGTTTGGAGTTAGATAACTAGAAGTCTCTCAGTGTCATAGTTTGACCTTGGCTAATTTATTCAACTTCTCTTATCCTTAATTTCCTCATTTGTGTGTTGGGGATGATAATCTCTTATCAGTGTCTTTTTTCATTAACTGGTAGCTGTTTGTGGAAAGTGCCTCGCACATAGGAAGTCCCTAATAAGTGTTTTTGTTTTGTTCTTTATTGTTATTACTCTTAGTACTTAACTGTTTAGGCTTGGTGATGTCCCTACTTTGCTTGAAAAAGAATGCTGTACTTCATTATAATAGATCTCTATTAGCTTCCTAGGCAGCACAGTCTTCACAGTGTTGACAGGGGTCCAGCATTAGTTTTTCATCATGTGGGAAGACATAGTTTGTTCCTATCCTGAGTTCACATAGTAAGCCAAAAGTAAAGCCACAGTTAGAATTTAGATTTTCAGAACCCTTTATAGTCTGATTTGTAGTTTCATAGAACTTGATATATAAGAGGGGTTGCCATGTAACCTAGGTCCTATGGTCATATAGGTCTAAGAGTTATTTGTGACTTGTAGCTGCTAGATATATGTTTGGCACAGGGCATGATAGTTACAAGAAGAAAAGAGTGTAAGACCAATCCTCTTTACCACATGTGTACACGCACCTGTATTTAACCACTTGCTCTCCTGTGCATGCTCACCCACACACCGGAAAAGCTTTTTAAAAAAATAGCCTGCTAGTTGATTTTGAATTGTCTTTTAATGGGTCATTATACTTGGACAAGGCCCGTCAAGCTATTTAAATAGATAGGCATGCCCAATTGTAAACCAGCAGTTCTTGGCAAATGAACTAAAGCTCTTTCCAGAGAATGCAGCTGTGAAGAGTATGTGTGTGTTAAAATAAGTAAGTGCACAATTGGCAGACACTTCATCTGTCTCTAGATAATTATAGCAGATAGTTAATCTTGTGATTTTTGTAATAATTTTGGCTCTTACGTTCATAGTGATTACCTTTTTGCCAGCTCAGCTGGGTACTTTGTTTTTACTGGCTGTTAAGTTTAGACGGACACATTTAATGACTAAAAATTAAGAAAAACCGATAAGGTGAAAAAATTCAGATCCTTTCCTTTTTATTTATGGACTTTAATTTTTAAAATTTTACTAATTTAGTAAAATCACTGTATTTGAATTAAATTTAGTTAAGTTTAAGTATTGATTTCATAAATTACTAGAAAATGGAACTTAAGAATAAAGCAGATGAAAATGTAGAAAATGGTGAAAAGTTAATGGGCTTATGCTATCCCGTCAATAAACTAAAGTGATATTAGTAACATACTAGTAATAAAACATGGGAAATGCCTTAAGTTCTTCCTTTGTATTTTCCCATGTAGCCTCAGAAAGAATGTTAAATCTTTGCTGATTTTATCTCTTGCCCATGTTTTTTCACATAGACATTATGCTATTTATCCTTGTAATTTATATTTGGGGACTTAGGCAGTTTATTTTATATATGTGCCTTTAGCTATTGGTATAATGCACAGTAATTTTATTACATGAATGTTCATTTTAGATAAATTAGAAAATAAAGATGAACATGGGGTGGGGTAAGACGTATAATTCCAACTCTATCATTGTTAACATTTCCATGTCCTATCTAATAATAGACAAACATGGTAATTGACCATACCTTCGCTACGCCTCCCATTGGCTAATCAGCGTGATATACAAATTAACCACCAACAAACATGGCGGCTAATTTGCGTACTGCAGGCGGAGCCGGCAGCGCACGACGCTGCCTGTGGGACCCGGGCCCGGACCCCTGACCTGGTGAGGCGGGGCCAGTAGCGCCCGACGCTGCCTGGGGGATCCGGACCTTGGATCTGTGACCTGGCGAGAGCAAAGCAGCAGAGAAGGGAGAGAGCCCAGGTGGCAGAGAAGGGAGGGAGCTGAGGGCTAAGCAGCGAAGGGAGGGAGTGAGGCAGCGGATAAGAGAGCAAAACCTGCCTAGGTGGGCTTCGCTCCCTTCTCTGCTTCGCTGCGGTCTCAGGAAGCCCTATTCTTGCAGGAATCTTCCTGCAATGGGCCTCTAGTCCTATATAATAAAAGCCCAGCGGCAGAATGACTGGTTGACCAGTTGTTATGATGCACACTGACCACCAGGGGGCAGATGCTCAACACAGGAGCTGCCCCCTGGTGGTCAGTACACTCCCACAGTGGGAGTGCTGCTCGGCTTACCACAGCAGGACTAGCTGCTCAGAGGGCAAGTCCATAGCCACTTGGCTGACCAGGATGAGCAGCGCTCCCACAGCAGGCCAATCACTGCAGGCCACACCCCCCACCAGTGCACAAATCCCATGCACTAGGCCTCTTGTATTTCTTTAATTTTCTGACTTCTAATATATGTAGTCTATGAATGAGACAGTATAATAGGTATTCTTATTCAGTAATTCTTTTAATTTACTCATCAGGAAATAATGCCTTCTTTGGATAGAAAGTCAGATGACTTCTAATATCATTTCAACTAAGTCTAGGATTTTTGATCACCTTGAAACATTGTACTTTATTCCACAATTTATAGTTCTTTTTCCCATTATCCTGATAAAATCTTTTCTGTGATTTTTCAGTAAAAGCACAGTTTTTATCATTTAAATGCTTATAAATCTCATATGTTACTGACTTCAATTTAGGGAGAAAAGACTATTCAGACAGTGCCAACGGGAGCAAAGCCAGCTATCATCACTGCTACAAGACCCATCACCAAAATGATTGTAACGCAACCAAAAGGAATAGGTTCCACAGTTCAACCAGCAGCTAAAATCATCCCAACAAAAATTGTTTATGGGCAGCAAGGGAAAACACAGGTATGCTGTAAGATATGGTGATTTTTCATGGCTCAGGTATATTTTAAATTCCTAAAATTCCAAAATAGAAATTTGAATGAAAAGATCAGTAATATTTTTTAAAAATTATTAAAAGTTATGACTACATGTGTATAATTATCCATCTGTTTTCAAACCCTTTGTTTCACTCCTCACACTTTAAAAAAATATCTAAATATTTGTATCTTTTTTTTATTTTTTTATTTTAATTTTTTTAATTTTTTATTACAAAGGGTATTACATATGTGTCCATCCCCCCCCTCCCCCCGCCCTAGACAGTCCCCTAGCCTCCTAAATATTTGTATCTTATTAAGAGCAAAGATTGGAGAAAATCCCCTTGGAATAAAATTTGTTGAAGTTATGTATTGTTATTTGAGGAGTATAATGTTGAGGAAGAATGGTAGTTATTTAGCAACTCTCAGAGAAAATTATTTACTTTTTATAAGCTAATAGGGCCTTTGAAAGCACTTTATTTACTTAAAAAATTTGCTTTACTTGAAACTTAAATAGTAGAGAAGCTAGTGATCTGTTCATTTTTTCTACTACTAAGGGAGCTTTTCTAGAAATTTGCTTGGGAAATTGAGGCTCAGGAATTAATCTTATGTTGCTGGACTGCTGTGTATTTTACATGATGTCTGAGAATATCAAAGGAAGCAAGGTAGCTTTGGTTGAGAAATGCTATTCTAGAATTTTTGTAAAAAATAGTAATTTACCTATAAAATAATAATTTGCGTTTAGAATGATTCCTTAGAATTATAGCTAAATAGTTTACTATCTAAACAAGTAAGTTTGATGATTAGAAGTAAGTCCAAATTGCCTTTAAGATTCAACTGGAACAATTTTATTTGTTCCATTATCTAAGTTGTATTATGTTTTCATTCTTGAATTCTTAGAAATGGGTTACTTAATAGAGTCTGAAAAGGTTTAAAATCTTATATGTGGGAGAAATAAAAAATAAATGTGGTGAGTTAACATTATTCCATGTACCCAATTGAAGTCAACTCCAAGAGTCCAAATTTTGAAGTAAAATGGTTCACTTTGAAAAGCTTTCTTCATTTCACTTGCTTTGGTATCTGTGGTTTTCACCTTTGCCAAGAGTTGATCTACCACATATTCCATATTGCTTCTAATAGTTGACTACATCATTGTTCCTTGGGGGATTTTTTCAAAGATGATTTGGGTTCCAAGCAAGTTTACTTTGTATACATGTGTCAGGAATTTCATTTGGTTACTAATGATAGAAAAACCAAAGAACAGTGACTTAAACAAATTAAGGTTTTATTTTTACTATGTTAATTAATGTTCAGACTGGTGAAATCTGGAACTGTTATTGTGACACAAAAATTCCACTGGGAATCTAGGCTTTTTGTATCTTTCTTGTGACTCATTTCTAATATATAGCCTAGATTGTAAAATGACTCCTGACTACATCATAAGCAAGGAAAAAGAGGGGCAGATGCTCTTGTTAGAATCATGGCTGTTATATGGCATGTACCACTTAAAATGTTTTATGTAGCCGAACCGGTTTGGCTCAGTGGATAGAGCGTCGGCCTGCGGACTGAAAGGTCCCAGGTTCGATTCCGGTCAAGGGCATGTACCTGGGTTGCGGGCACATCCCCGGTAGGAGGTGTGCAAGAGGCAGCTGATCGATGTTTCTCTCTCATCGATGTTTCTAACCCTCTATCTCTCTCCCTTCCTCTCTGTAAAAAATCAATAAAATATATTTTTAAAAAAATGTTTTATGTAGCTTGACTATAATTTGCTCATAGATTGAATTAGTCTTTGATGAACAATGTTGTGCCCAAAACATAGTAAATGTAACGAATGCTGTTTTGTACACCAAAGAAATATTATTGTTCATGACATAGAAGTTTAACATTTTAAATAGTGCTCTAAAATTTGAACTTGGTATATTTCTGCTTTTCTCCTAGGTTCTTATTAAACCCAAACCAGTGACATTTCAAGCCACAGTTGTTAGTGAACAAACAAGGCAGCTGGTCACAGAAACATTACAGCAAGCATCCAGGGTGGCAGAGGCCAGTAATTCTTCTATTCAGGAGGGAAAAGAAGAACCACAAAGTTATACAGATAGTTCCTCTTCTACAGAGTCCTCCCAAAGTTCCCAAGGTGAGATTCATTTTATATAATTACTGCTGACAATAGTGCCCTAGTTCCAGAATAGTTGCATCTAGAAATTTTAAATAAATATGGTTTGATTTGTCACTTCTTTTGATTTTATTTTCTTTTGTTTCATATGTAATTAGTGAGCTGAAGTTTTGTTTTTGGTAAGGCCTACCATTCTTTACTGCATGGCATATGTTCATCAAATAATTGGTAAACTTAGGATAATGATTTTGACAGGTAGGTATTACAAACTGCTTAGAGCTATGATTCCTCCCTCCTGTTTTCTTTGGGTAGGTAGAAGTATGCAAGAAAGTGAATATACCTTTTGAAATGGTTGTTGCGGAATCTTGAGAAAGAGTCAAGGTGGCCAGAGGTAGGCTACAAGTGGGCTGTAAGTAGGCTGTCATGCATTGCAGTTTGCATGGGACAAATCCTAGTTTATGTCTGTTCTAGCATTATTATTAATAGCATTCCCTTTCATTCTCAAAGGTATCCCAGTTTAGATAATAATTATATGACTCCTAATTATAAGGAAGGGGCTATGAAGCCATAATTCATAGTAGGGAAGCTTTTTGTTTTCAGTGCTGTTTTAATTATGTTCTTCTAGGAAGTCACTTGAAAGATCATGATCATAATCTTCGAGACCTTCTACAAATCTCATACTCAGTTACCTTAAATCACTCTTACTGTCAGGCAGTATCTTATGCCCATGCTTATGCACTCTGATGCATCTAAGCAAAGCTGTTTATATTCCCTTGGTCATTCCTAGTCACTCTATTTCTCTCCCTGACTTCCCATTATCCTTTCTGGAGTGCTTTGTTAGCACTTTTCTAATATAGATTCTTCATATTGTGCAAACACTTCATTATTTGTTAGTTTATTCTATGTACTAAGCATTATGTTAGACCCTAGAAAGGCTGAGTAAAATATAGTTCTTGCTCGTTAGGAGCTTAAACTCTAGAGTAGGGGATTAAAAAAAATTAAATGTGCAACTTCAGTGTAAGAATTTTATTAGTAACAAAATGTTATTACTAATAAAAATACCAAATGCTGAAAGTTCATACTCCAGTGAGGAGCAGATGAGAAAGACTCATGAAGAAGTAGCATTTGAAATGGTCTTTGAAAACTCATCAATTCAAAGTAAATAAAAAAGTCGATTTTAACAAATGAACACTATGTCACTCATTTTATAAAATACATAAAATATTTAGCTTATGCATTGGTTCTAAAAGGGGGACATGAATATATATATTCTATATAATAAAAGTGTAATATGCTAAGTGTCTGATCTATTGGTCGACCTCGACCAGTCATTATAGCATGCACTGACCACCAGGGGGCAGATGCTCCTACCCGTAGGTTAGCTTGCTGCTGGGGTTTGGCCGATTGGGACTGGGCGAGAGGGCTGGACATGCCCTGGAGCCGTCCCACAGTCCCTCCCTGGCCGGCCAACCTCCTGTGGTCCCTCCCCAGCTGACCAACCCCCACGGGCCCTGATGGGAACTGGGTGAGCTGGCCCCAGTTGGCCCCATCGCTGGCCAGGCCGGGGGGGAGGGGGATGGGACCCCACTTGTGCACAAATTTGTGCACTGGGTCTCTAGAGCAGTGATTCTCAACCTTCTGGCCCTTTAAATACAGTTATGCGCAAGTAGCTCGCTGCTGCTTGCCTCAGCTGGCCGCCTGGCCCACTGCCGCTCGTAGCTCTCTGCCCGCTCGTAGCTCTCTGCCCGCTCATAGCTCACTGCCCCGCCCTCCTGCTGTTGGTCGTTACATGTCACAGCATAACAACCATTTGCATATTACTTCCTTATTATATAGGATAATCTCAGATGATCTTTTAAAATTGTTCTTCTTTTCCTAAGAGAGCCCTAAATCAATCAGTACTTTCCAAACATGTCACTTCATTAGTGAGTCTTCAGTTGTCATTCTAAGAATGGTGCAAGAGTTTGGCTATTTCTAGATGTGATTGAGTATAAGGTTTTTCTGCTCTGATCTATTATAATATAAGCATCATCATCTGTTTTTATTTATTAGTTTTCTTTCATTTTGTATTTTAAAAAATATTCTGTAATACAGACATACTTTATAGTTCAAGACTAAGCATATCTAATGTAATTGAATATAAAGCCAGTTTTTATAATCTGCATTTACCCTTCTTCCCATATCCTTGTATAGCTCTTTAGTACATACTCACAAAGACAAGGTGTTGGGAATATATATGCTGTGATTTAAAGAGAAAGGGATAGCCCTAACTGGTTTGGCACAGTGGATAGAGCGTCGGCCTGCGGACTGAAAGGTCCCAGGTTCGATTCTGGTCAAGGGCATGTACCTTGGTTGCGGGCACATCCACAGTGGGAGGTGTGCAGGAGGCAGCTGATCAATGTTTCTCTCTCATCAATGTTTCTAACTCTCTATCCCTCTCCTTCCTCTCTGTAAAAAATGAATAAAATATATTTTAAAAAAATAAAAATAAAAAATAAAGAGAAAGGGATAAATGATTGAGTCAGTCTAAAATTGTGCTGTTTTGAGTATTTGAGTGCTATAACTGCTAGGAATCTAAGCACTACTTAGATGTCCATTTTTCTTTTATATTGCTTTTGTGGTTTTTAGTGCCACCTCCTCCCCACCCCGCAAATAGCAACATTTTTTAATGTAATTTAAGATAGGAGAAAGTAGCAGGAAGAGTAAAAAGAACTCCTGTGTATACTCTTTATCTAGATTCACCACTAGTTTACATTTTGCCCTGTTAGCTTTGTTGTTGCTTCTCTAACTAAACCCCTCCATCCCCCCCCACCCCATTTGAGAACAAGTTATAGATATCATGTCCTTTACCCCTAAATACTTACATTTGTAGGTTCATATTTCTTAAGGGTTAGTCTATTCATAACTAAAATGCAGTTATCAAAATCAAGAAATTTAAAGCTATGATTTTATAATCTATAGTCCATTCAAATGTCATCAATTGTCTAATAATATTCTTTATACTTTTTTCTTCAGTCCACAATCTAATTCAAGACTGCATTGCATTTAGTTGCATTTAATTATCATGGCTCTTCATTTTCCTTTAACTTTAGTCAATCCTTCAGCCTTTCTTTGTGTTTCTTGATCTTGACATTTTTGAAGAGTATAGAGCAGTTACTTTGTAGAATGTTCTTCTGTTGTTTTGTCTGATGTTTGCTCTTGATTAAATTCAGCAAGAATTCCACAGATATGATATTGTGTCCTTAATTTTATCTCATTAGTAGGCACATGATGTTAGTTTGTCCCTATATTGATGTTAATTTAATGTTGATCAATTGGCTGAGGTGATATCTTCCCCATTTGTGAGGAGATACTTTGAAACTATATAAATATTATGTTCCTCGTTAAACATTTATCTTCTAGTTTTAGCATCCATTGATGATTTTCTAAAGTTCATTATTTGTATATTTGATAGTTGGCATTCTACTGTAAAAATAAATCAACCTTTTTTTTGATTTCAGATGTTTTTCTGATGATTTGTCTTACACAAGTCCTGGAAATAAGGATATTTCTTATGCCAGGGGAATTTTTTTATTCTACTTATAGTTTCTAACTTTTCCCATTATCTCCCACCCCCAAGGAGGTGAGGAATAAATCAAAGTTAAGCAAAGCATACTTACTGCATAACTTTTCAGAGCTGTTATGTGCTAATATGAGGAGTGCAGTATATAATGTAAAATGCTCCGCAACTTTTTTGACCATGGGACCCTTTTTTTGTAGAACATCTTGAGAAATTAATGTTCTCTGGAACATTTTGGGTGATGCTGTCTAGACAATTAAATACTATGAAGGCCTTAGACTTTATGACAATACTTCAGAGGGAAGGTACATGTTACATCGTAAAAGGGATGTAGACATCTTGGGTTTAGTTTAGAAGAGATGGTTTAGTTGGGTAAGGCATCTGGGAATCATTTTATATGAGGAATGGTTAGTGAAGACAGACCATTTATCATGGAGAAGAGATGATGAAGATTGAGTTGGGTCAGGGGAACATGGAGATATCATCAGTTATCTTGAGGAAGAGGAAAAAGAATAGGTCTGTATAGATACATGGGTGGAAACTAGAACCATTGGGTAGAAGTAACAGAAAAACCTGCTTCCACTCCATTAAAGAAAATTTTCTAATTGTTATATTGTGCAGAGTTGGGAAGGAAACTGTTTTAGAAAGTAGTGAGTTCTCTGGTGGTGGAGTTCCTGGACTGGCGGTGGTACTTTGTGAAGATTATAGCATACAATTGCTGAGAGCATTAAATGAACTTTTAAATCTTTTCTGGCTGACAGGTCTTATGATATTATGAAAATGTGATATAGGCATTTTATAGTAAAGACATAGAAACATTCTTTCATAGAGATGTCTGAGTCTGCCTTTGGATACAGTGTGTATCTCTAGTACAAAACATGTGGTAGTTATTTAATAAATACTTGCTAAGTAATTTGTCGGGAAAGATATCTGAGGGTTAGCAGGCCACCATCTTCAAGAGATATAGGGTCATTTAAAAAAATAGCCTTCCCAAAGAAAACAAAATCAACATACAATAGATCTGGAATTTTTAATTACCATTTAAAAACTGTATACCTCCCCTACACCCCACACCCCTTCAAAAAAAAATAATAACAATACTGGGTAGAATATGTACAACACCAGGGATGCATAATTTCCATTAAACCTTCAAAAAATTCTACAAGATGGGTGCACATCACATAATCAAATGGTACTGTGAAATCAGATTCCTGGTACCTCAGTCATTATTTTCGGACCCCAGCATCAGACTTGATAGGCAGTAGATTTATCAGACTAAACATAAGCCAAAGGTAGAGAGGAAAATCACTCAAGAAATGGTTTTCACATCGAGGTTCACTCTCTCATTCTGCCATAGATGTTGGGGTTGTTTCGGTAATACTTTGTGATGGTCAGCTACTCTTTCTGAGTATGGACAGAGAGTGAGCAATCTCCCCAGTCTCTATGGGATGATGTTATTTGTGATGATGTCCCTGATAGGTGTTCCCATGTGGAAATTTGTGTTCCTTCTCTAGTCTCTACCATATCCCTCTACAAATGAAGTCCTTGCTTTCTTCTAGATAATCGATGTATATGGAGTGGAGTTGCCAAGTCATTCTTTGCCTATAGGTCCTCTCATCCAACCAAGGGGTACTTATATCATCAATGGAATTTTTTAAATTTGAGAACTTAGGTTATATAAAAAGAATGATTCCCTAATATAATTCTCTTAAGTTTAAGTTCTATATATCTACTTAGAATGACTAAAGAAAAATGGTTATATGCTTCACATAGCATTTGGTATTCCGGGATAGTATCCTTTAATTTTCTAGATTTTGGAGGAAGTTTAATGGAAGTTATACATCCTTCATATACCTTATGTCCTACCCATTTGGGTGTGTGTGTGTGTGTGTGTGTGTGTATAATAACTTATTAATCTTAATTAAAAATTCCAGATTTATTGTAAACTGATTGTTTTCTTTGAGAAGACTATTGGTTTATTTTTATCTCTCTCTTTTTTTTAAGAGTTGTTTCCTCTGCCCCAACCTTTTGGGACAAATTTGTGGATTTCAAAAATATAATAGTCCTAGAAGGTCAAACTTATGTTGCATTTATTCTTGTTTGGGGAACTACATGAATTCTTTTTATTATTCTGTGATGCTTTCACTGACCATTCCAATTCAAAGTAGACTTTTTCTTTCTATGTATTCATCTTATTTGCCCTAATCATTTGGTTTTACCCCAAAATACAAAGCTATTTGTATATCTTTATTTTATGTCTCTTTCATTATATAATCCAAACTTGGGAGTAGGGATCATGCCTTTATATATCTTGCATAATTTTCTGTGTGGTGTTTTGGACAAAGGAGTTTAGGAACTTAACAGTAGTCTAGTCCAATCTGCTTATTCTGTAGATAGAAAACTCATAAATAGTTTGTTGCTCGATTTGATGCACATTTAGTATTTACATGCATACCAGTATAGCATGAATATAATAAACCTTGAATTAGGGTGTAATTTCATTTGAAACTAACAAAAAGTCTTAGAATGGAGGACTTTCAGGCTACCACTACCACAACAATATTTCTATTGCACTTCATAGTTTACAGAGCTCTTTCACATATATGATTTTGTTATATCCTCAGATCTTCAGAAATTCTGTGAGGTAGAGAGGTGATTTTATTGTTGCCATAATTAAGTAATGATACTAAGACCCAAAGAACCAACTTGCTAATAATTGATAGAGCTGAGGCTGTAACCTAAGAGTTTGAATTCCAAGTGTTGTATGTGTCCTATTATATCAGGTTGCTTCTAGATTATCTATCCAGTCCTGTTGTTAGTGGACAAGATTACCTTTCAATAAATCAGTCATTCAGTAAGTGTTGACTGAATGCTGAGGTTGTAATACAGAGCACATTTTCAGCTGCATTTGGGAAAATAAGACTCCTATAGCATTTGTTCTTACACAAATATATACCCACTTACACAAGTACTCACCTATTTATTATAACAGTTATCACATTGAATTGTAACTTGTCTTTTTTACATGTCTGTCTCCCCAACCAGATTGTGTGCTTCTTGAGAATCCTCTGATTATTCTTTGAGCTCCTTTGTATCCTCAATGCCAAATATAGACTCTGGCACATAGGTGCCTAGTTTGTTCAGTTAATGAATGAATAATTCTGTGAATTCAGACATGAAAGACATTTGCCCTCTGGGGGCTTACAAGTCTTCTTGGGGAGATAAAGCATGAAGTTTACAATAAATACAAAGATTTTTAAAAAGCAAATTGTTTTTTTTTAAGAGAAACTTTGTTTATAGGGTTTGTTTTTTTTTAACTAATATAAAACAGATTCCCAGCCTGTAGTTCATGTAATTGCTTCCCGGCGTCAGGATTGGTCAGAACATGAGATTGCAATGGAGACTAGCCCCACCATAATTTATCAGGATGTATCCAGTGAATCACAATCAGCTACTTCAACAATCAAAGCTCTGTTAGAACTCCAACAGACAACAGGTATGAACTCACATGCTCAATTGAATGAAGCATGTTTTCTCTAGAGATGGGTTGTGCTAAACTACTACCACTGTTCTATTTTCTTTGTTATTTGAGCACATTTCCCCCCTCTGGACTTGTCTATAATCATTGGTGCAGTCTTCTTACTTGTCAGTTCATTAAGATGTGCACAGTAGCACTGAAGGATAGATATATTCAGTAGGAAGGTAGAAAAAAATGGCAGAGCTTTCTTCTCTGTCTACTGACTTAAGTGGACAATCCTGTTGCTCTTCTCACCAGAAAGGAGTAGGTCTGTTACTTCTAAGTGGAAAGATAGATACAGGACACCAGCTCTATTCAAAAATAGTAGGAGGCAGATTGAAGGGCCTGTCATCCTCCTTGATATTGGTGGGACAGTTTTATGTTCATAAAACACCATTAATGGCCCTTTCTAGCATTCTGATTTGTTTTAATTTTATCTTCATATTTCTTTATATAATTTACTTACTTGAACTTCCATGCAAAGCTATCCTCACAAGATTCTGTCAGTATTTCTAGTTACTAAATATCTTCAATGAACTAGGCAAAACCTGTGTTATAAATACTGACCTCTCTATTATAATAGGTCAAAGATTGTCAGAGTATTTAAGGGACCTTAGCAATGATCTCATCCAACACTTTCATTTTATGGATAAGTAAACTGAAACTAGAGAGGTTACCCAGTAGGTTAGTGGCAGAGTGAGATTCAATGTCTTGATTCCTAGTTCAATGTCCTTTCTACTTATAGAGCGACTTCTGTATTCTTTTGGCTTTGTTTTGCTTTCTTTGTTTAAATGATTATCTTGATTTTGTCACATTATATGCTTTGTGCAAATAATCTGAATGATCATTCAGTGGACTTGATTATTGGTTACTACTCTTTGTTGTGACATCCACTCTACACTACCCCAAGAATACTAGTATTTAATGTAAGTCTTTGGTTAACATTTTAAAATATTGATATTATTTTTAGCCTTAGTCATTTCCTCAGCTCCTTGTTTTTTACATACTCAGCCATTTTCATTAATGCCTTATAAGAAGGTAGAAACTGAATGAGTAGATTCTGTGGAAAAAGTGATAAGATAGAAAAATAAATCTGTCCACAGAAACCATTCCTGATTCTAGACTATTCCAGAAGACATTTTTTTTTTTTTTTGCAGGAACACAGAAGCCATTTTTTCTAATGTTGAAAATTTTTATTTTTTAAAAGTCATTAAAAATACTATAATCTTTCTTTAGAGATTACCTTAAAATTTTAACAGAACAAATTAAACTGATCACTGAGTTGTGTAATTCAGGGTAGATGTGCCTGAGTGGAAATCATGCTATGTACTGCTTATTCACCCTTTGTTTTCAGGTTGGTGAACTCAAAGATACCAGGGACTCCCTTGAAGAAGGGTAAAGAAAATGTTGGAAGGGAAATGTGTATAAGGGAAACAGAACCAGTTGTCTGGCCTAATGATATTAGGGGCGATTTTACTCTGATTGCATTTGAGTCCTTTTTGCTAGGCTTTTGGGTATGATTGCACAAGTTGTGGACTCTATACCCTTGCACAGCAGTCTGATTTTTCCTTTTCAACTCATTGTCTCCTTAGTCACTGCCAGTGTGGCACCCCAGAGGTCTGGTTCATTATTCCCATGGACAACTCTGGTTTGGGTACTTGTTTGTAATAAAAGTTAACTTTTCCCCTGACTTTTTTATGCAGTAAAGGAAAAATTGGAATCTAAACCAAGACAGCCTACTATTGACTTGAGTCAAATGGCAGTGCCTATTCAGATGACCCAGGAAAAGAGACATTCTCCGGAGAGTCCATCAATTGCTGTAGTAGAGTCAGAACTCGTTGCTGAATACATCACTACAGGTAGGTGTCCTTTTAAAAAGTAGTATTAAGGTAGGAGAGCTACCTTTCTGCATTTCATAGGGTGGTTGTTTGGGGGAGAATACATTTTTTACATTTCCAGATCTTTTTCAGTTTGCTCTGAGAGCAAATTCACTTTGTCCTTGGGATTACTCTTTTATGACTAGGGGTTGGGGAGAGGTGGGTAATAGGTTGCTACAGTTTGCAAGTAATATAAAACTGCAAGTTGGCCATAAATAATATCTGTGACTATAGGGTAACACTTTTAGAGAGAGGATAAATATTTTTTTATCTAGAGATAAACATTTTTTATGCATCTGAACTTTTTAATTTTGGAGGAGGGGGAGAGATGGATCAAGGGAGAAAGAAGGTAGAAAATCCAATCCTTTTTTAATGCAAAGGAAAAAAATGTGGAAATTTTTAAGTTATTATAAATACTTACGAGTTCTGGTGGAAAGTGAATTAGGTATTTGTTTAAAATACAGCCTGGAAGCAAAATACTAATGAGATTTTTGGATGTTGTATATAGAGAATGGAGCAGGAAGGATAATAGATTCTTTCAGATGCTGGTGAAACCACACCTGGAATACTGCTTTCTGTTTTGGACACTTCATTACCTTGAGATTTGAAATAGTTCAGAGAGTAGTAATGTGAATAATTCAGGGTTAGAAGAGAGGACTTATGAGGCACTATGTAAAGAACACCTGTCTTAAGTATTCCTTAGCAGTGATTAAAAGAGAACATAAAGTTAAAAATATTTGAAGGATCTAAATACTGAAGCAGAAAGGGAATTCTTTGGCTTCATTTTAGAAGATATTAAGACTAATGGGTTAAAATTGCCAAATGGAAAATCCATTTAAAGATTATGGAAAGCCATCTAGCATTTACTTCAGAGATATTTAGCAGAAAGCTAAATAAAGCAGAGGGCAATATGTTAGGGAATCAGTATTGACCTTGGTATAGACTAGATTATCATAAATAGATGAAAAGACCTATGATTTCTTCCCATACTTATCCTTTTCAGAATGCAGTGATGAGGGGACAGAGGTTGCTTTTCCCCTTCTAGGTGAGTGGTGTGCATCCATTTGTTGTATAACCAAAGGTAAAAGATGATTGTTTGGGGGAGAACCACTTCAATGTATACGCTCTACTCTGATCTGGTAGAGGAAAGGAAAGCTCCAATCAGTGAAAGAAAGGAAGAGAGATCTTCTTTTTGCAGAATAGTGGGATTTTTTCTCAGAAATAAACAATTTGATATTGGGGGAAAAAAGAGTTCTTTAAAGAAATAAGTGAGTTTATGTTATGTATTTGGCCCAGTTAAGCTGTTTTCCAATGTTCACCCTGGGGCCTCCTTCCAGATGTAGGCATACTAGTATGTACATACAGCAACAATAGAAAAATACATTTTTGAGTATAGATAGAAAGTATTATAGAAATAAAGCTTGTTTATATTTCACTGGATAGTTTTAAAGTTCTGTACTTATAACACATAAATGGCATTTTTACATTGATTTCTGTAGTGATCATCTTACACTTGGATACCCCACTGATGACTTTTCTAAGTATGAAACCACTACTACTTGAAATTGTAGATCAAGATATATGAGCATTAGCTCTCGCCAGTTTGGCTCAGTGGATAGAGCGTCAGCCTGCGGACTGAAGGGTCCCAGGTTTGATTCCAGTCAAAGGCGCATGCCCAGGTTGCGGGCTTGATCCCCAGTAGGGGGCATTCAGGAGGCAGCTGATCAATGAGTCCCTCTCGTCATTGATGTTTCTATCTCTCCCTCTCCTTTCCTCTCTGAAATCAATAAAAATATACTTAAAAAATATATATATGAGCATTAGAATCATGGATTATGGAGTTTTCATATTCTCAAATTCTTAGCTCATTTTCTAGAATTCTTTACTCTGTTCCTGATTCAGAAAGTTGGTTTCTCAGTAAATATAAGCATTTTTAAAGCTGTGTAGAATAAGAAGCAGTGAATGTTTGTACTGTTTAAAATGTTGAAATTCAGGCTGGTAAAATATGATCGATTGGCATCAATATAGATAGATTACTACATGGGATCTTTGTAGCAAAAAAAAAAAGTGGGGTTATTTCAATGTATACTCTTATTTGGGTCAGATGAGCTAAGAGAAGATGTATTATTTTGTTAACTCTATATTTTAGTACTTAACAACTTAAGGAATGTTTTCAATCCATTACTTCATTTGGTCCCCTTCTAGGTAGAAACAAATTATTATTATCCCATTAAAAAACAAAAATCAAACAAACCAACAAAATCTCTTAAGTTTTAGAGGTTAAATAAAGTTTACATGACCTCTTCAAATTCCCATAGCTGGTTGGTGGCAGCGTGGGGCAGAATCCAGGTGTGACTCTTAGTGATGACACTCTCTGCAGTATCATCTTGACCTCTTACAGCTTTAGGAACTGTAAGGCTATCTAATCTAGTAAAAGAGAAACATGCAAATTGACTGTACCTTCGCTATGTCCCAAACCACGCCCACCAGCCAATTAGAGCAAATTAACCCAACCAAGATGGCAGCCGGCAGCCACGGAGCTGAAGCAAGCAGGAGGCTTGGTTGCCCCGGCGATGGAGGAAGCCAAGCTTCCCGCCTGCCCTGGCCAGCT